GCTAGCGATGCCATCGCTGCTGCTGCCAGCAAAGCGGAGCTTGAGCAGCATGTTTGAAAGAGGGCGCCCCGGTTCTGAGGATCTGAAGGCCAGGTAGAGTTACATGTTCGCTACTGGATCGTACCTCCATGGGGGCGGCAGGCTAAATATAAGACAGGAGCGGCCGTGTGCGACCAACGCTTTCTCTAGGCCATCCGTTCGTAGCCATGTTTACTCAGACTGATTCGGCGTCAATTCGGTGGCTGCCCCACCGTTCGCGGCCTTTTGCGGCCCCACCGTTCGCGGCCTTTTGCGGCAATCGGTCCTGTTGTTGACGGGAGCGATGGCAGAGTTCCAGAATCTCATGCCAAGAGCCACGCGCCGATGGCAAGTTCGGCCCCTACCTCTCCGCTGCCGACGTGGAACGCTTCAGGGAGAAGGGTCCCAGGGTTCTTGGCCGCTGGTGAGACGGGATCACTGCACAATGCCCTCATGCTCCTTGAGATCCGCGGTAAGCTGGCAAGCGTTGCCACAGACGGTGACGGCACGACGCAACGGCGACGGCTAGGGCCTTACAGCTATGACCCCTCTCGCCAGAGCTACCGATCGTCCGGTCTCTGCCAGTGATGCCGAAGGCCGCGTCTGCCGTGGCCCAGCTCCTGTGCGACGACCCAGGCCCTGCTAGTACTGTGACGAGGCCATGCTCCAGTATCTCTAGTCGCCTTCGACCCATCAGTATTGAGCGCTCTCAAGACCGAAGAAACAAGAAGGTAATACCAAAGAGCATCTCAAGCATGAGGTTTGTTCAACGATTTTAGCCTTCTGTGGCGGCTCCCAGAGCCTCCAAGAAGGTCCAAGAGGAGCCCAAATGGGCTCCAGAAAGGTCCCCAGGACCATCTTACACCATGTTGCACGCGCTCCATCCCCGCTGCCCTCCCGAGGCCATTGAAAGCAAGCCGCCCTGGAAGCACCCAGAAGCGCTCGGAAATCTATGCCTTGGACCCCTTAAGGGTTTTGACAGTTTCTAGTACGGAGAACTCGAAGATCCTGAGGACGCTTCCTAATTCTAGACGCGGGGGCGCCGGGGTCGCGGGGGCGCCGCGCGGCCGCCGCGCGATGGCGCCGTCGCCGGGGCGATGCCCCGCCATGCAGGCCGACGGGGGCGGAGGCTGCCAGGGGACAGCCGCCGCAACTGGGGGGAGGCCGTGCGCATGGCGGAGGACGACGCGGAGTGCATGCTGGGGCAGGGCCGCCCTGCACTTGTTCGTCTCCCTCGCCGCCCTCGGGCAGGTTTCACCGGTCGCGCAGGAGCGCGCGACTGCCTCTTTCGCACCGCTGCCGCGCTCGCCATCATCTACTTCCAGTCGTGCAGCCGCCGCCCGTGAGCGGGCGCGTGTTCGCCGCTGGTGGGTGGAGCGTGGGCGCATCGAGCCCGTGGAACGAGAGGTGCCCTGGAACCCACTCGCGGGCCTGCATGTGCCCGTTAGGATCCGATGGAGGCGCTGCCGCGTGCTGCTCCGGACGTCGAGTTCTCGTTCGTTGACTTCTGCTGGCCGCTTCGGGGAGCTCAGGCTCAGGGGGGCTGGGCAGGGAGGCTACGCGGGCACGCGAGTTGGCGAAGCCACCCACCCTGGGCCCCTGCAGGCAGCACCGGGCACGCCCCTGGGCGGAGAGAGACCTGCTCGGCGGCAGGACCGCAGTCGGAGCGGGGAGAGAGGGATCTCTTCGCCCCCCTTGGGGCGTGGCGCGCCCACTGAATTGCGCGCTGCGGTCAGGGGGGGTTCAGTCCCACCGCAGCGGCGGCCTCACCAGGGCGACCCAGCGGTCGACGCCTTGCAGCAGAGCGTCCGCAGGCTGGATTTCGACGAGGAGATGGTTCCTGCCGGCGCGACTCCAGCTAGCGTGCCCTCTCGGCCGGGAGCTGTCAGCGCAGACTTCCGCGCATCTGCAGGGGCGCCCCCGCCGCCGCCGCCGCAGCCTGCCGAGGGGTTCCTGGGAAGGTGCAGATCCCGCAGCCGCGCGGACCCACAAGGCACGGATGTGGTGACCGCGGGAATGCGCAGGCTGGATGTTTACGAGGCGATGCCGCAGGTGAGCTCCAGAGTTCACTGCCCCGTCGTCGGCTGCCCGCGACATGACCGCCGCAGCCGCCCGTGGAGCTCGGTGCAGAACATGAGGGCGCACCTCGAAGCACATCGGAATGGCACCTTACAGGGAGCTATCCCGGAAGAGTTTCTTCGGCAGCATCGGCTTGTACCATGCGCGGGGTGTACGCGGCTGGTGGTCGGCCCCGTGGGCTCGATGCACCCTTCTTGTCGGCACCTCGCTAGGTCAGCAGCGGGTCCGCCGGGACAGCCAGCGCCTGATCTCGGCCGCCTCCCTGGCTCGGGTGCCGCGGGCTTGCCGGCCCTTCTCGACATCATGCAGGCCAATGTGCGTACTGTGAAGAGGGTGCCGGGCTCATGCAAACGCTTATGGTCCACAATTCTGACTCGAGCTATGGCCTCGGCAATGTTCCTGAACGTGGCGCCGGGGGTGGATGCTCCCGAAGATGCAATGCAGCGCTCGCGCGATGCTTGGGCCGAGCTTCTGATGCTGCCCAAGTGTGTCCTAGCAGCGGCCACGAGGTCCGGCAAGAAGCACAAACATGTGCAGGATCGCCTCATCAGATCCCGTTTGCAGCAGTGGGCAGATGGTGACCGTTTAGAGTTGTGGCGCGCCCGCACTGAGGCTAAGGCACAGCAGCCTACGACCGCTTCGGAGGAGCAGAGGAGGCGCCGTGCCATCGCCTTGGCCGAGGAAGGCCTCGACGGGCAGGCGTGCAAGGCTTTGCTTTCCAAGGGCATGGCTGACACGAGCCTTAATACGCTGAGGGCTCTGAAGAGGAAGCACCCTGAAGAATCGGAGGCGCGTGATCTCAGACCTCTGCAAGGTGTGAGCGGACCACAGGAGGACTTCTTAGATAAGGAGGTTCTGGCCGCCCTGAGAACCTTCCCGAAGTGCTCAGCCAGTGGGCCTTCTGGATTGAAGGCGCAGCACCTTCTTGATGCCGTGGCAGGCCCGGACCAAGCCTCTTGCCTTGAGGCGTTGACAGATTTGGTTAATCTGCTGGCCCGTGGACAGGCTGCTCAACATCTGTCACAACATGTAGCCGGCGCCTCGCTTACCGCACTGCCCAAGGATGACGGCGACATTCGGCCAATCGCGGTGGGGGAAGTCCTTCGCAGACTTACCAGCAAAGTTCTGTGTGCTGACGTCAAGGATGAAGCGCGCCGTCTGCTCTGGCCTTTGCAAGTTGGCGTGGCAAGCCCACTCGGAACAGAGACAGTCGTGCACACATTTCAACAATATGTAAGTCGTCACAGGAACTCGCCAGACAGAGCGGTCCTCCTCATTGATTTTCGCAATGCGTTCAATAGCGTGCAGCGGTCTGTTTTCTTGGACGAGGTCGGCAGGCACATGCCAGGCTTGGAGGCTTGGGCTCGGTGGTGTTACGGTGGCCCATCGGACCTGCTGTTTGGCAGCCACGTGCTGACGTCCAGCAGGGGAGTCCAGCAGGGCGACGCCCTTGGACCTCTCCTGTTCTCGTTGGCTGTTCATCCTCTCTTGCAGGAGCTGAAGACCGATGCTGGGTTGGACATAGTATGCGGCTGCCTCGACGACTTTTGCGTGGCGGGCGAGTTCGGCGCGACGCTGCGGGCGTTGCGGCTGATTCAGCGGAAAGCAGCAAGCCTGGGCCTTGAGCTGAACTTGGACAAATGCGATGTAATCGCCACGGCTGGGCGCAATACGGAGTGCAACCTGTCCGAGTTCCCCGCAAGTGTCCAGCGGAGAATCGACGGTTGCTTCAAATTGCTCGGCGCCCCTGTCGGTGACCAAGAGCATTGCGCAGAGTACGTGAAGGTGAAGAGAGTGCAGAAGCTGACCGCGATGCTCGACGAGGTGCCATTATTGGAGGACGCCCAGGTCGCCCACAAGTTGCTGTCTCGATGTTTCGGCGTCTCAAGGCTTATGCATAATATGCGGACTACGCGGCCTGACTGGATAACACATGGTCTAGAACAGAGCCAGCGGGCTCTCAGGTCGACATTCCAGACCTGCACAGGCACGGCGCTAAACGAGAGCCAGCGGCAGCAGGCGCCCCTGCCCTTGAGCAAGGGAGGACTGGGATTTCGGTCTGGAAGTTACCACGCTGCCGCGGCTTACCTTTCCTCCCGCACGGCGACGCGACACCTATGCGGTCAGATCGACGCTGCCTTCTCGTGGGGCGGGGCCTGTGATGGCGGCGCCCTGACAGCAGCAGCCGACCTCTATAATGGGGGCGTCCTGCAGGAGCACCGCATCACGAGCGAGCATTTGGCTGCCGAGGACTCCTTCCCCAGCCAGCGGTCTTTGTCAATGCACGTGGACGAAAGACTCCTGGGCCAGCTGATCGCGGCAAGCCCAGACGCGCACAAGGCGAGGCTCCTTGCGACCAGCGCGCCGCACGCGAGCGCATGGCTGCAGGCCCAACCGTGTAGCGCCCTCGGGCAGCGCATGTCCCACTTCGAGTTTGTGGCGGCTTTGCGTTTGCGGCTGGGGTGCCATGCCTCTAGCAGGGACGACTGGTGCCCGAAGTGCGACCAGGTGATGGACGCGCAGGGCCTGCACCCCCTCAGTTGCATGGCGGGTGGTGACGCGGTCAAGGTACACAACGCCTTGCACGATCAGGTCCATTCCTTTGCGCACGCAGCGGGCCTCCGCGCCGAAAAGGAGGAGAGCGGGCTGCTGCCAGACGGCCCCCGCCGGCGGCCCGGGGACATCCATTTCCCGACCTGGCCGCTCGGCCCCTCCCTGGCTCTCGATTTTGCTGTCACGTCGCCTCTCAGACAGTCAGCGGTGCAAGGGGCAGCCGCCAGACAGCTTAGCGCGGCCACGTCATGCGAAGGGGCGAAGCTTGCAGACAGAGATACTGGCGCGCGCTGTGAGCAACTGGGCATTCGCCTCGTCCCCATGGTGGTGGAATCCTTCGGCGGGCGGGG